AAAGATATATCCTAAAACATCAATATCCTGTAGGCATTTGGATCAGGAAGTAATCCAGTTGCCAGTGACAGCGACTTAGTATTTCAGTTTGCCACTTAAATGTACAAAGCGACATGAGGGCAAAATACTAAATTCTGCAAGCGCTTTTAAATAAAATAATGTTGACCGATCATCGCCATTTTGTAAATACAAACCAAAAAATAAAATTCACAATTATAGAAAATACATGCTAACTTTCAACTTCCACCAAAAAGAATATTCATGATGTAGTTATCAAAATTGGCGGTATCGCAATAGATAACATTTACAAACCTCCTGTCATCACTTGACATGTCCATGTATATAACTTCTATGAACATTCAGTCATATACATAGACGATTTTAACAGTTACGAGATATGGATGTAATTTGATAATGACAAGAATGGCACATCCCTGTTGGAGTGTTCAGATAATAGTATTCACTTCATCATTCAGGTCAAAGACAAAGTTATTTTCAGGTCTTTATCTTAAAAGACGAATTTCCGATCGTTGCTTTTTTACCACTGATAACATGGGTTAACCTTTATCAGTATCAAGGGTTATATCTGACTTTTCCTACAGACAACACCGCCCTCTTTGAATTGAAATCGGCCTTAGGATACCATTTAAAAAATTGTTGCCTAAGAAAGACAAATACTTACTGGATCTCACCAAAAAGCATTCACTAAGGCAGTATAATTGAGGCCATATTGACTGAATCAAAAGCAGCAATTTCTAGGAGTTACCGCAAAAAGTGTACTCCAGGTTAGTCTAGGGATGGCTAAAAATTGTCCGGTTAATTCAAAAATCAAAAAAAAAATAAAAGACAGAAAGCAGAAAATTTCAGACGAACTACTCCACAGAATTCAGTCTATAATCCGCAAAAAATTATCTTAGAGAACTTAAAACATAAATATTTAAAATCGTGTAGTTTTCGCTAAAACAATGTTAGTGATATACTCAGGCATTAAACCAACTTAATTACATTAAATCAAGTACGGTACTACACACTGTCTACCACAAGAGCCCTTCTATATGTACTATGTGGAGACAATAAGTAATATATAATCTAAGTTTTATTTGTTGCAGAAAAGTCACTGATCAAAGATCCCTCCTAAAACGATCGATACTTGCTCCCCTGTTATTTAATCTCAACATAGCTAACATGTCTGAAATAGCATTAAAGAGATTCTAATGAATGATTTGGCTTGTCTTTGGAAATATTTTCGCGACTGAAGATTGCAGACTAATGCCATCAACAGCGAAGAAGCGTGCTTTTATTGCGTTAACAAGATGATAACTGTATGATTCAGAACTTATAATAACCTTCTGCAAAAACTATGCGTTCAAATGAAGTTTCACTAGCGTCAACACTTATATCTCATCGCACAGTACTGCTCATCGGTGCAAATCAACAGATCACACACCAACCGTGTTTATGTCTAACTGAACCAAGTCATGAGAATTATATCAGGTACAATTAAGGACACACTCACTCATTGGCTACCTGCACTGAACCACATAGCTCCTCATCAATTGAGTCCATCCGCTTGCAAGGTATTATAAAAAAATTATTGCCAATTATGCTCTCCACTTATATGTTGTAATTAATGGAAAAGACATAATTAGGCCTTAAATAATAACTTCTTCTCCCAAAAACCACAAATTTACTAATAAAAAAATATCAAAACAGTTCAGGGCTAAAGAGAGGACTTGGAGAAGAATACAACATATACCAGAGACAGAGCCAGCCAGAGATTTTTGACCAACCAGGACGAATCTGACAATAATCAACAGAATAAAGACAAAGTTTGACAGATGATCTGATTTACTAAATAGCCTCTCCAAACTGCAACTACGTAACTAAAATTAATTACTATTTAACTGGGAATAAGCCACAATTAAAAGTTAAAATACGTTTATTGACGTTTCAATTTCCACTTTTGAAATCGCTCTCAAAATATAAACAGTAAATTATTGTTTAAATTTATAAATTTACTGTTTGTATTTTGAGAACAAAATACAAATGTTTCAATTTCCGAAGTCGAAAGTGAAACGTCAATAAACGTATTTTAACCTTTAATTGTGGTTTATTCCCAGTTAAATAGTAATTAATTTAAAATTCTTCTCTTCTCGATTTTCGATATGGAACTTTTTGATCTGCTACCTGGAGGCCAGAATACAATCTAGACCTATTTTTTATTTCCACCAATAAAAATAATAAACCACTGGCAGCTTGACTTACAGTACTTACAGATTTTCCACATAGCCAACATAGACCAGTAGTAATAGAAGTTGGCATCAAAATACCAATAAAGTCATAATTTTTTCGACCTAGATGGAATTTTTCAAAAGCAGACTGGGCGACTTTTACTTAGAGATTGGACAGATGTCTAGTATGGATAACCCCAACACGTGCAAAACACATAAGATTTGTTGGCGCGGTTATCTTTACAGCGAAGAAAACTATATCCAACCAAAGACATCGTAAAGAGTATGTCGAAACAAACGAAAGCCAAGACCGAGAAATGTCGGACGAACTACTTAACAGTTTGGATGCAGCCAGATGACAAAAGTGGATGGAAACTATGGAAAAATTAGACTTTAGTAAATTAAGCAAAAAAGCATGGCTTTACTTAGAAAACTTGGTAGTGGCAGACTCGTAACTAGAGACAACGTACCAGTAGCTTCCAACAGAGAGGCCTCCCACATTGTAGCAACCTCACAATTACCTAGAGATCGTGACCAAACCATCAAAGTAAAACAAAAACTAAAAATATTAAAGTCTGCATGCCCGCCTACATCTGAATACTCTGAAGAGTTTACTCCAACAGAAATTATTTCATTAATATCTGCTCAGAGAAAATCCATCCAGATTTTTTTCTCCACTGTGGCAAATATGCTATTAAGTGGCTGGCTGATTTCTACACATATATGTTAAAATAAGAAAAAATCCAGCATATTAAAACTAGAAAAGGTAAATGATTAGCCCCACAACTACCGACCGATTGAATTGTTGAGCTATGTCTATAAACTATTGAAACGATTATCTACAACAGAATTAGTGGAAACATATTTTAATTAATACCTATTCAAGCAGGATTTAGGCCTAATCGTAGCTGCACAGATCAGATCATATCCCTAATAACACATTTTGAAGGAGGTTTTCAAAGAAAGAAAAAAACATACGTTGCTTTCATTAACGTATAAGCTACATTCGATACTGTATGGAGAACATGACTAATCTGCATACTAATCCGTGCCATCCGTGTTAAAAGGTAACTAAACTCATTGATAGCATACTAATCGACAGACCTTTTCACGTCACACTGGGAAACTTTAAAGTGTCCAAATGAAGCTCAACAATAGATGCACAGAGATTAAGCAATGAAAATGGCAGAAATTTGGCTACGCTGAGGACTGGGCCATTGCAGCAAGATATACTATCGATATAACTGAAACAATACTAAAGAATGACCCTGCCGTTATGGGAAAATACTTTTCTAAATGGAGGCTACGGCCCAATGCAACTAAAACCGAAGTGTGCCGAAGACAACAAAAAACTCTCCGTATACTTTGAAAAAAGACTGCTCACTCATAATTCAACACCAAAATATCTTGAAGTGACTCTGAGCAGAACATTAAGTATTAAAGAACATCTAAAAAGAACGGCAACAAAACTGAAAATGTAAAATATTATAGTCCAAAAGCTATGTGGCACCCGATGCGGGTCCTCAGCCTCCGTACTCAGATCATCTGTCCTCGGACTTGTATACCCGGCGGCTGAATATGCTCCTTGTATGGCTCAATAGCAAACACACAAAGATTATTGGGACCAAATTAAACCAGACAATGCTTGTCATCTCAGGTACAATTATACCCACACTGAACGATTGGCTTTCCATTCTGAGTCATATTTCACCGCCGAAACTGCAAAGAAGTCATTTTCTTCTCAAAGAATATCGAAAAATCGAGGCTAACGATCAACTACCTATTCTGGATAAGCTGGATATCTAAATAAACAGACTACGCTCTAGATATCCTCCATTGTTAAGAGCCAGCTCCTCACATCAGAAACATTTCAACCTCACCAACGCTTGGAGAAGACAATAAGAGAGCGACTCACCTTAAGAAGCACACCAAATGGCCTGTATCGATCAGAAACCGCCAGGCTTTGAACTGACCCGCAAAACATAGACAACGCTAAACATAATAAGAACAAGCATCAGTAGATGTGCTCACAGCTTAAAGAAATGGGGAAAAGCCCTTACTTCTGAGTGTGACTGTGGTGCGTAACGATAGGCCCTCCGTCACATTATTAAAGAATGCCCTCGAAGGCAATTCCCTGGAGTTTTTGATGAGTTTCTGAATGCGACCGAAAATGTTTTACATTATATTAGTAATACATTGGACGTTTCTTTGTAATACTTCATGTAACGTTTTATATTGATTTTTATTTATGTGTTCCCATTGTATGCCATACGATAAATAAATAAAACAAATAAATCCTTATATAGTTTGCAGTAAAACATCCATTTTATTGCAGTAGTTTTTGCTTACTTCAATATTTGCTATTTAAAAATTAAAATGCACTTACCCGAAAACCTTCCGCTTCCGATAGTAAAAAATAGAAACATCCAAACCAATGAGCAAGTATCAAAAGAATATGAATTAGATTTATCACTCTCCATAAATTCGGCCAAACAGTTCTGGATTCTACCATATAATAATAATTAACGGCACGGTATACCTGTAAGAAGAAGAAAGGAGAATTACATATTAACTAAAAATAGTTTACTTAAAAGAGTTGGTCTGACAAAACATACTTTTTAGCAATTTAGTAAATAGAGTTGTGGGTAAATTTTAAAAATTAAAACGTTTTGGTTTCTTTCTACCCTCTATTTACTCATAATATAAAACAATATTTCATTGTATATAAATCTTACTAGATACGATGGAAGAAAAATAATTGATACGAACCTTTAAAAATCTCGGACATCTTAGTAACGGATGCCATCCTAACCTAATTTGGAGAAGATCAAGTGGACATAAAGCTGCCAAGTCCAGCAAAAAGGCACGAGAGCGTAAGTAGTGAGAGGCTAATTTTTTCGAATCGTACACCATCAGCCCTTGTTCCAAATATCCGGTCCGAAGTTGTACGGCCAAGTCCAAAATGAACACCAAATCACTCATGGAATCACAGGTTAGCCAAAAACTTGAAATCATTTCCTGTAATCAAAGATAAAGCTTCTGTATCAAATTATTTAATAAAGGAATAAATAAACCAAAATTAGGGTATCTTTAGATATTAATTCATTTTACTAGAAAAACTGACTATTTTACATTATGTTTTATAATTTTTTTTTAAATTTTCATGAAAAAAATACTACTTTTTAGTTTATTACGTTTTTATTTTTTTTTAATCCTTTATAAAAGGTATATAATTTAAAAACCCAATCGGACTATATCACAAAAGGTTTTCGGAATCCATGTTCCATCATCAGTGTTCTAAAAATTATATAACCACTTAATTAAAAAGAAGAAATTTTGACCAAGGTTAATACAAAATGTGGTTAGGGGAGAGTCCCACAGTACCGGCCGGCATACAGTACCGGCCAGTTGAAAGTTCTACAAACCTATAATAGATGGTACGGTGATGATTATCGGTATTAGTGCGAGACACTCCTATATATACAAGCCTAGCGCGGTGTCAACTTGTCGCGATAGGATTCTGGTCAGTGCAAAGATTTGTGTTGGGCATCATAGACGTACACTGCATATTTAAAATTCTGTTGGTAATTTTTAACATTTAAAGATCCAGTTTAAAACAAATAACTCCTGGTATGTATAGTGTACTTATATAACTATAAAAAGTATACTTTAAATCAATATTTGTGCGTTTGTTTTTACCTGTAAACAAACTTTTTTTTTTTCGTTTCCTCCAGTACCGGCCACTGCATTGTCCTACAGTACCGGCCAATATTAAAGTTCCTTTTTAAAAGATTTCTTTTACTTACAGGTACGCAAAAATGCCAAGTGATAAAAATAATGTTCATGTGAGGCAAAAAAAAGGCAGCTGGGATCCTGCGAACTTGCGAAACGCCGTGGAAAAGGTACTAAATAATGAGATGAGTGCACGCCAAGCTGCCGAACGCTATCAGATACCACGAACTACATTGAATGACAGAGTAAGTGCTATTAAAAATAATAAAGAGATATCCATTGAGCCAGTTATGGGTCGTTTTCACAATACTTTTTTACCTGAACATGAAGAAACATTGGCGACACATGTTAAAAACTTGGCCAATAGACTATTGCCTTTAAACAGGCAAGAATTTTTACGTCTTGCTTTTCAACTGGCAGAGAAATTAATGTTACCTCACCAGTTTAATAAGGAAAAAGAAATGGCAGGAAAAAACTATTATTATTCTTTTATGAAAAGACATAGTGATTTACATTGCGGAGTGCTGAATCAACGAGCTTAATGAGAGCAGTAGGATTTAACAGACCTCAGGTTGAGCGTTTCTTTGATGGTTTAGAGACTTTGACACAGAGGTTTAAATTCACTCCTTATAAAATATGGAATTGCGACGAGACTGGTGTCAGCATTGTCCAAAAACATGCCAAAGTTTTAGCGACTAAAAACCAAAAACAAGTAGGAAAACTGACTTCAGCAGAACGTTCAAAGAACGTGACGGTGCTTTTTGCAATGAGCGCTGGAGGTTAATTTGTTTCACCATATTTTATATTTCCACGAGTCTGAATGAATGAAAGACTAATGGTTAACGCCCCAAATGAGAGCGTAGGCGAAGCTCAGCCAAACGGCTGGATGATTTATTTTTAAAATGGATGCATCATTTTGTGCAGTATTCTAATCCTACAGCCGAGAATCCAGTTCTCCTGATTTTAGATGGACATGCGAGTCATAAGGACTTTGATGTTATTGAATTTGCCCGGAAAAATAACATCCATATGCTTAGCACCCCACCACATACGACTTATAAGCTACAGCCACTGGATCGTACGTTCATAAAGCCATTTAAATCTGCTTATAATAATGCATGTGACTTGTGGATGAGATTAAATCTCGGTATTAGAATCAGTAAATACGAGATTGCTGGCTTAGTTGCTTCAGCTTTTAATCGAGTTTCTCGAATGGAAATCGCAGTTAGTGGCTTTCGTTGCACAGGCGTACACCCTTTGATAAAAATGTCTTTAATGATTTGGACTTTATTTGTTCTAACATAACCAACATTACAGAACAACAATCAACGTCAGAATCATTGCCTTCATCTTCCCAAGAATACAACTTCCTACATATGTCTAGTTTTCATTTTACAGGTACCAAATGTTAAAAAACATAAAGGGCCTTTTATTAGAATCTTTATTATACACCACTTTCCGACTTATGTACAGTTGGTTGCCTAACAATACCCACACAATTTTTTACCACAATTCATTCCACATACAATAATCAATAAAACAATTTTCTCCATGCTCTTAACATTTCAGGACAAGTTTAAAATTTAAAACTACGACATTGATGGTTGTTACTGTTATAATAATTTAATTTGAACTTATTTAATTTTTAAATAGCGCTGGCTTCTGTCTTAAGTAGACTTATACATTAAGTTACACTGACTACTTTATTCGGACTTTCGTACTAACTTTAATGACAAGATTTTCACTTTAATCAGTTGCTATAATCAAGTCCTAGTAGACACTTTGTCTCAGGACCAGCAACTTCATGTGGAATCATACGTCGCCATGTTACCAAATCCACTGGTAACTTTAACATCTTAATATAGAGTAACATATATCTTTTAACGGGTTTTTACCCAGATATTTAGTGGCTCAATACATGTACAGCTAGTAAGTATTAACCACATTTTGTATTAACCTTGGTTAAAATTTATATTTCACGTTCTTTTTAATTAAGTGGTTATATACTTTTTGGGACACTGATGATGAAATATTGATTCCAAAAAGGTTTTGTGATATAAACCGATTATATAAAACTCAATTGGTTTTTTAAATTATATACCTTTTATGAAGGATTAAAAAAAATGTGTGATACATGGTACACATCCAACTACAGGAACTTAGTTTCCTTGAAGGTTTTTTATTTTATTACGTTTTATTTTATTTCAGAGCGTCAGAGCTATATCTGTTTATGTAAATTTTATATGGAGAGTGCTTTTTAGAGCGAATTAGCGATTTTTTTAAATTGGAAATTTAGACCAGCTTATTTTGTAGTTGCAATGTTGCAATGCAATCTAATTATAGTTCTACTAAAGCTGCCCTCAATATCCATTAAAGTATCAGAAATAATTAAACCGTAAAGTAACACAAATTTTTTTAAAAACAAAATTTTAAGTTAAGAGAAAAGCAAATGGATGCATCACTAAGGATTGGGATATAGACCAGGCATTATCTGTTTGCTTTAATTGCTTCGAACTATTAATAGAAATAAAAATTTTAAAGGCACTTTTAGAGGTGAGTTTAATTAGTTATTAAGCAATTTGTGAAAAAAAAAAACTGACAAAATTCAATTTTGTTCTCCTTTTCTATAATGTATCTCAGCAGATGTTCATTTTAAAGACATTTTGTTAAGACAGATAAGTTTTGGAATTAAATTTTCTACAACATGTCATTAATTGAAAATAACAAAAATAGCTATTAAAATTGCAAAATTAGCAAAATCGATTAAAAAATGGTAAAAATCAATGTTTATTCTATTTTTTTTTTTTTCGGCTATTTAAGAGCCACATAGAACCTTTAACATTTACCCAAATCATTTTAATATTAAAAATTACTACATACAATTTTAGCACAACCAATCAAGTAGTATTTGAAAAAAAAATTTGCAATCTATATTTTTGAAAAAAAGTTATTAATTTTTAATTAATTAATTAGTTAATAATTTTTAAAATTATTTAGAGCCAACAAAAAATGTTTTAAATACTTTATTATTTAACATATTTCGCACACACCATTTTTGCATTTAAATACTTTGAAATTTTTTTTTTTGTTTAATAATTTATTAAATCATAAGTCATGGTCCCGGATTTCAGATAAATCATTTTTTAAAACCACTTAAATGCATAAATGAATTCCACATCCCCGATAAACTGATAAGATTGGTTAAGGCTACAATGCGTAAAGTTGTTTGCAAAGTCGAAATACAGGGCGAACAACCACAGGCATTTAAAACGCATGTTGAGCTGCGACAGGGAGATGCGCTGGCGTGTCTCCTTTTCAACATAGTTTTGAAAAAAGCGGTCAGGGATGCCCAAATAGACAACAGAGGAAACATTTTCAATAAATCATGACAACTTTTGGCATATGCAGATGATGTTAACGTAGTTGCCCGCACAACACGTAAACTAGAAGAAATGTATACCACCTTGACAAATGCCTCAAAAAATATGGGCCTGCAAGTCAATGAGGGGAAAACTAAGATAATGGCATTAACATCCAACAATAGAGGCAGAAATATCGGCGACGAATTCACTGTTGATAACTCTACCTTTGAAGTGGTGGACAAATTCACATACTTAGGCTCCATGATCACCAATGAGAACGTCATGACGGAAGAAATCAAGCCAAGAATAATCCTAGCAAACAAATGCTATTTTGGATTGAGTAGACATATAAGAAGCAGAAACTTAAGCCAAAAAACAAAAATAACCATATACAAAACTCTTATACAACCAGTGTTGACATACGGAGAGATGGACCATTTCCAAGGCAGATGAAAACCTCCTGCTTATATTTGAACAAAGTATCCTGAGAAGAATATTCGGTGGCATCTGTGAAAACTGTGTTTGGAAAAGGAGGTACAACTACGAGATATATCACAGATATAAATATATATTTCGTGGTAAAGACGTAGTATCTCTTATAAAAATATGAAGACTAAGATGGGCATAAAATTTTAGAAATCATCATGATGATGATGATTTCTAAAATTTTAACATCTTAACAAAAATTTTTACGTAGAGCTTGACAGATTTTGTAACTCTTACAAAACTCAATTTTAATAAAATAATAAAACCTCATTTTAATAAAAAAAAGGTCACAAAAGCTTAAATAAAGACAAATATTACGATTTTAAAAACGACAAAGTATGTCTATAGTGGGACTACAGCACACTAACAGACGCTAACGTTTAAAACAACTCTTAGTGTGACGTAGTCGCGCCAAATAAGACCCGCCCACAAATGCGC